GCAGGGAGGGGATGTGTCTGTGCAAGGATTAGCCAGGAAAGGTACAAGACAATGCTTTGGCTGCTTCCGATCTCATCACTCAGGGACACTTCCCTCCTTTACAGGGAGTCCCTCTGTCTCTGCACCCTTGCTTTCAGCCACCTGAACCCCTTTTGAAGTAGGGCCGCCTTGCCCTCCATGCCAGATCATTCCTTGGTCACAGCTTACCACTGCTGAGCAGTTACAATTTGAATTTCCCCTTGACTGCAGGTGCTGGGGCTCGACATAGGAAACAAGGCTGCGTTCTTCAAGCTTATTCCCCCTCCCAAATTTCATTCTCTGTGTTGTTTTCATATCCCTGGGCTTGTGGAAACTGCCACACATGATGCAATGTTTCCTGTTCATTCCCGACATTGATAGCACACTACATGACAGTCTTCTTGTCAGGGATGTAAACATGCACAGAAAGCTCTGTTCTCTGTCCAGTACAACCTGCACATACATGAGCCACTGCATTTAGATATTAGCAAACTGTTCCTCTTGACGACTATTAAGAGCAGGTGGCAGATCCCTGACAGCAATGGGCTTTGCCCCATCTCAAAATAGGGAGACCTTGAAACTGTTCCACTGTGTTATTTCCCTCTTGATCTGCAGCCATGGCACTTGATGTCAAGATGCTGCAGCTTTTCCTTCTCTTGTCTCCATTCTCATAATAAAATAAATACAGACAGTGAAATGTTTCACCCAGGCAGCTCCTGGCATGGTGCATCCATGGGCCCTCATTTCCCTGGGTGCTCTGGGGAGACAGCCCAGGGCCTCCTATCAGCAGGTATCTCACCTTCTCCACTGGCAGCAGCACAGTTGCAGGACAAGCTCCTGCAGGAAGAACTGGGCCTCTGGATCCAGCACCCTCGTCTCGTAGGGAAGAGGAAATGGCACAGCAGAGGACTGTGTGTCTGCTCCCAGCCCAGCTTCCTGCAGGCTGCAGATGCTGAGCTCAGTGCACAGAAATGAGCTTGAACTAAGGAAGTTGCCCTCAGGTTTATTTGCAGGTAAAGGCATTCTTCTCAAAAGTCGAGACCGAACCAGCCCAAAAGAGCAGCTGAGAGGAAAAGGAGAATTTCTATCAGTCATCCCTGGTGGATTTACTGACAGCAGAGGGCTTTGGGGCCTTGGTGTGTTGGGCAGGAGTAGTTCAAGCAACTATGTTCTCATTTCAGGGAAGAGAGAAGGTCTACTGGGGTCCAAGCTGCAGGATTTTGTTTGGACATTCATCCTGTTCACATGCACAGTCTGTGCATGAGAGACAAAGTCCAAGACAGAGTCCTCTCCTAACAAGTCCAAGGAATCCCAAAGGCTGACAAGCTCCAGTCCATCCCTGGTGGTGGCCAATGGGTGGCTGGAGAGGTCTGGGACCAATTCCAGCTTCCATGTAGGGAGAGGTGCCAGCCTGACATGCTCACAGCTCAGCAAAGGATTGTGTGTGTGGGGTGAGCCAGATGCCCTGCAGCTGCAAATGCTGAGGCTGGGACACCCGGGAGGAAGCTGCCCTGATGGAGCTGCCTGAGGGGATATACCCTCTCTTCCAAGGGCAATCCAATGTTCATTAGCAGGTGGCTTCAGGAGGAGATTTCCAAGTGCCTGAGCCAAGCCCTGACATCTGCCAGTTCAGCCAGCTCCTTTTGGCTCATGAAAACCACTTTCTTCTGATGCAGGTCAGGATGCAATTGGCTTTCTAGGCTGCAAGCACACGTTGCTGCCTCATGTCCAATTTCTCAACCATTGCTATTCCCATGTCCTTCTCCACAGTGCTGCTGGCGACCAGTTCATGCCCCAGTCTGTACTGATACTGGGGATTGTCCCAACTCAGGTGCAGGACCTTGCACTTGGTCTTGTTGAACTTCATGGGGTTCACCTGGACCTGATCCTCAAACCTCTGAAGTTCCCCATGGATGACATTGCTTCCCTCAAGAGCATCAGATGCACCTCTCAGCTTGGTGTCATCTGCAAACGTGCTGAGGGTGCTCTCAATCCCTCTGTCTATCATCTTAATGAAGATAATATTGGTCCCTGTAGAGACACAAGAGTAATGGTGTTAAACTGACAGAGGGTAAATTCAGACTGGACACCAGAACAGGTTGCTCAGAGGTATTCCCATCACTGGAAGTGCTCAGGGTCATCTTAGACGGAGCTCTGAGCCACCTGATCTAGTGAGAGATGTCCCTACCCATGGCAGGAGGGATCAGATGATCATTCGAGGCCCCTTCCAACCCAAGCCGTGCTGTGATTCCATGACAGCTCCGGCCATGCCCGCCGGGGGCCGCTGCTGCTCTGCTCGCCGGAGCCACCTGGTCCCACCCAGCCCCGCCCGACCACGAGCCCAGGGGCGGTTCTCCTGCCACCAGGCATTGGCATCAGCATCAGCACTGGCATCGGCATCAACCACCGGCGTCCGGAAGCCATCCCGCACAGCCGGGAGTTTGAGCTCCACGCAGCCAGGGGACACTGATGTAGAGGTGACTGAAACTTTCAGGATTTCTCCACACAGATTGGGGGCTCCAAGTTTGCCAGAGGGAGTGAAGGTCTGCAGTTTGGTGAAGCTGAAAGTCATCCCCTGAGAGGAGAGTCCTCTGCCCAGCTGGTCCACAGGGAAGCCTGTATGGCTCTAGAAATTCAGCTATTCAGAGTCCATCTTCTTGGGCTTCAGAAGCAGAGGGGGAAGCCTCATTTCCGTCTCACTCCTGCAACAGCAGAGGCCTCTGTCCTTGAAGTGGCAAAGGATCCCTTCTTCAGGCATTCTTTGGACGGGCTTCCCGCTGGCCAGACAGCAGCCATGCCTCAGTGGTAGTGTCTTGCAGCCCAGAGCAGCACAAGCAGCCAAGGGTCTCCATGTAGATCCCTGAAGGGAGGGAGGGACGGATGGTTGGATGGATGGATGGGTGGATGGATGGATGAATTGAGCCCATCTGTAAAGCAGATGCCAACATCATGCTGTGGGTTGGAATTACGCCTGGGTCTGTGCCTCCCCAGCCTGTGTGCCAGCTCCTGGGCTTTCCTCAGGATCCACCAATGGCTTTCTCTTTGGGAGAACAGCTCTTGGCAGGAGACATAATTGTTCCTGTGATTTATCCCTGGCCAAATTAGCCCAAGAAGAGGAAATCCCGTTCTTGCTTTGCATCTAGCAATTGGCTGAACCTTCAACCTGCACTATCAGACTGTTGAGATTCATGGGTCAGCCTCTGCAGCTTAGAGAAGGTGAGGTGGAAAATGAGTCGAGTGAGGAAGCTGATGAAATGATAGATGAACATGGAGCCAGGCAAATTTAAAACACTTTTCTGGCTTTACAGATCACGTGCAGGAGGAATTTGTGCTGCACTTCCCATCAGAAGCAACCATGCAGGCAAGACACAACAAACCAGGGTTTTTCTCCAGAGGCCTGAGTCACCACCAACCAGTTCCTCTGAGCACAGGAACCTTTCAGTGTCTTGATGTGACTTGGCCTGTGCTGGAGTCAGAGGTTACAGGTCAGACAGCTGGGAGGGCAGGGGATGCCTGGTGGCCAATGGCTGAAGGCGAGTCAGCACTGTGCCCTTGTGACAAAGCAGACACAGGGCCCTCTGAGATGTCTCAGCAGAAGCACAGCCAGCAAAGCCAGGGCAGGGATCCTTCTCCTCTATTTGGCACTCCTAAGACTATGCCTGGGAGGATCCTGTGTTCAGTTTGGGGGGCCCTCGGTGTGGAGAAAAGGGACTGACATGTGGGAGTGAGTCCAGCAGAAGCCTCCAAGGCCCTCAGGGGGCTTGAGGACATGACCCACTATGAGAGCCTGAGGGAACAGGGCCTTAGGAGAAGGAGGCTCCAGAGAGACCTTATGGCTTTCTGCAACTGCGTGCTTGGAAGGTGTGGAAAAGCTGGAGCCAGCCTCTTCTCCAAGTGCACAGTGGAAGCACAAGAGACAAAGGAAAACCTTTGGAACCTGGGAAATTTTATTCAGATATAAGAAACTCTACTTAAGCTTAACTGTTTTTTGACCCTGAAAATTCTCAAGTACTGGAGTATATCTTCCAGAGCTGTTGCACAGGCTCTGGACTTGGGACTTTTTGAGAGTTGACTGGACACAGCCCTGACCAGCCCTGTCCAACCCAAAAGAGTTGGACATAGCAACCACAGAGAGAGTAAAAATCATTTGGCAGGTTTTTCTGTTAAATGCAAGAAGCCAGGAGAGGAGAAATGCAGATCCAACTTGTTCTGAGGAAATGGAGAAGGAAGGGTTATGGTCAGGTGGCAAGTCTCTTTGATGTTGTTAGTTGTTTGAGTTTTTTTCCCCCACATAGTTTTTCCAAAGCTGATGTAGGCAATGGGATGGGCAGTGTGTCAGGAAAGTTCATTTATTGATTCTTGAGAGAGTTGCTTTTGGACAGAGGGAGAAATCCCCCCATGCCTACGGGTGCTGATTGGGACAGTTGGTGTCTGCAGAGTTTGAGGGTGCCAGAAGCTTGGGGACAGACATTCTGCAGGAGCTTGGACAGGCCAAGCCAGCCAACGGTTGTGGTTGGTGATAGAGGAAGCCCAAAGCATCAAGGAAAAAGAAACTGTCGAGATATTGCCCAGGACAACGTGTCAGAGAGGTTGGTCACCAGGTGCAAGCCCGTCCCCCTATTGCCCCTCACCTTGGAACGGCAGAAGCTGTTGCCTGCAGAGCAACACGTGTCATTGCTGCTGGAGAGATCACAGCACTGGCATTTCAGGCATGCAAAGAACAAGCATTTTCTCCGCCCCACTTCCTTCTTTGTTCCCTTTGCAGAGTCATTTCCGGCAGGTCTGCTCTCTCAGAGCTCTTGGTGGGACACGTGGGGTTTTTGGGTCTCTCTCACAAGCAGGATGATCGGTCTCAGCACGCACCTCGGGTATCTGCTCCTCGCTGCCTTCCTGAGGCAACCACAGGGTAAGCATTGGCTGGGACTGGGAGTGTCCCTCCTCTTCTCCCCAGGAGACCCTCACCCCCTCAACGGATCTCTGCAGGCAGCTGCTCTTGGCTGATGGGCACACAATGAGAAATATCAGATCACACAGGTGGGTTTGCACCAGCTTGCCCACAATGATGTTACTGATGGAAAAGAAGAAATGAGGCAGAGAAGAAACACCTCTTCTCCTGATCTTCTTAGACCTCCTGACTTCTTTTTCTGTTGACAACTGTCCCCCTCTCTCTGCCTCTCTCTGCTGATCTCTGGGCCCAGCATTTCACAGACATGTCATTACAGAAGCTCTGCTCAATCCCTGCACTACACGTTTTCTGACCTTGCAACCTAAACACATGGAGCATTTGAAAGGTGATGCAGGGAGGTGAAAACTCCCTCATTCCACTCACATTCCCAGGGTGTCCCAGTCCTTCCCTTGGCTGGCACGGGTCATGCAGCAGGTCCTGGCTTCCCATTCCTCCTGCATGTCCACAGTGATGGGGCTTTTCCTTTTCCCTCCCTTGATCTGTGAGACTTCCAAGACGACAGAGAATGAAGAGTATGGTGAAATATCTTGCAGGAGTTCACCCTGCTAGAGGTGTCCTGGAGCCAGCAGAGGAGGAATAGGCACCACAACCTTATTCTGGAGACTCTGAGCAGCATAAGAGTCAGGATGGAAGACCTAGGTGAAAGCACAGCTCTCCCTGGGGGTATTCTTGGCATTATTGAGCTGTGGGATCCACACAGAGCTGAAGGCTCACACCTCCTGTCTAAAGACAGCTCTCCTGCTGCTGCACAAGGCACAGGGAATATTCTACTCTGACACTTTGCATTTTCTTTTCTTTTGTATCTCAGAGTCTTTCCCCACACAGTCAACGACCCTTGTTTCCTTCCAGGCACGGTGGGCCAGGTCACTGTCACCCAGCAAGACAGAGAAGTCACAGTAAAGCAGAGAGGCATCATCCAGACCACCTGTACATACCAAGCCTCCAACTTCGGAGGCTTGCTCTGGTACCAGCAGAAGAAAGGCCAAGCTCCCCAGCTGCTCTCCTATCAGGCAGCAGCTGGCTCCAAGCAGAGCGGCCGTCTCACCACGTTGCTGAACACCACGGGCAGATACAGCCTCCTGCAGCTGGAGGAAGCCGAGCTCTCTGACAGTGCCTTGTACCTCTGTGCTGTGCAAGACACCCTGGTGCAGGGAGCTGCCTTGGCTGGGCAAGAACCCCGGGCAGGGAGGGGATGTGTCTGTGCAAGGCTGAGCTCCTGGGCAGGGCCCTCAGCTCTCCCCTGGCACCACTGCCTCCCCTGAGCACCCAGTGATCTGCAGGACAAGATCCTGTTCCAGGAGTTTCAGTGGCCTGAGAGAAAGGGGAAGGTGCTGCAAGAGTCTCGAGTTCCCTTGTTTTCACTGTGCGTTACATGAATATTCTGCCTAATGGCTCTGGTGAGGTGATAGGCAGCAGGTCCAAGAGGGCAGGGACTGGTCATAACAGGACATGTCTGGAGGTTGGAGGTGCAACTCGGGTTAGAGGGTCAATAGGAATCAGAGCACGGGCAGATCAGAGGAGGAACCCACCACGATTCTGATATTCTACCATGAGTTTCTGAAAGACACCTGCTGATCCAGGAGCTAGAAACTGGGCAAGATGGGGAAAGGTTTCTTGGCCTCATTCTGACACAAGACTGTAAAATTTCACCAGGCCCAATGATGGTGCATCTAGCTCTTCAAAGAAAATTTCCCTTGGAAAGTTCTGGACATTCTGAATCACACCTTCACCTCACTTGCCCTGTCTCAAGCAGCACCAGGATCCTGCATAGGATGGAGGTTTCTACCTCTGCATGAGCAGAAACAGTTTGTGAGGGAAGGGCTTCAGACACACCTGGTTC